GGAAATTTTGTGATTATTATCTCTAGAAATTTACTTCTAAAATTAGGTTGACAAATAAACGCAGCAAATTATATCAAAAATCAAGACGACATTCAAGTCGTCCTGCATACTGTCATGTTTCGTGGGACACCCTGTATCAGAATTAAAACATTTTATCTTTCCATTTCTTTCTTTCGACTCGACAAGGCTAAAGGCTATTGGAAACATTTAATGTAAAAAAGTTTCAAACTATTTTGTTGAGATATCAATTGGTTTAAACACGCCACTCGGTGCAAAGATTTAGGGATCTAGCTAATATTTGAGTTTGGGGCAAATCTAGAGAACCGGTATAAACCCGAAAACCTAAAAATACCAGTCTCTATATCTGTATCCCTAAGTTAACCCGAAAACCTAAAAATACCAAAGTCTCTATATATGTATACGTATTGATAGGTATTTTTACGTATAAATATGTATGCTGAACTTTTGGGTAAAGAACTTACGTATATTTGCGTATTTTTACGCATTTATCATACCAAGCTTTTTTTTAAAATGCTTTGGTTTTCCAGAAACGTATTTAATACGAAAATTACGTATACGTTTTACCAAGTAATTTTTCTAAATTTTTAGGTTTTTATTTTACGTATTTTTTAGGTTTTTTCTTTACTTAAAAATAGTATCATTTTTTCGAGTTTAAAAGTTTGATGCAAACCTAAAAATACGTATATTTTCGTAAATTTCATAACAATAAATTTTTCAAAGTTTTTACGTTTTTATTTTACGTATTTTTTAGGTTTTTTCTTTACTTAAAAAATTCTATTTTTGTTGAGTTTCAAAGTTTGATGCAAACATAAAAATACTTATATCTACGTAAATTTCATACCAAGATATATTTAAAAGATAAAAGTATAAAGATAAATTTAGAAATATGAATATATTTTAGCAGAGGTGCAGCTGGGGGGGGACCGCGGGGCGCACGCTCCCCCCATGAACCTGAGAGCTGGGGGCGCCCCCCCCCCAGCTTTCAGAATGAAAAGAAAGATTGGCGAATATCAGTATGACAGCATGGGTCAAGAAAAATAAATCCAAAAGTTGTAGAATTTGTATTCTCCTTGCAGTGGCACGAGGGGGGGGCCCCCCCGCCCCTCTCTACGCGTGCCACCCCCTGAGAGGCTGAGGGGGGGCACCCATTGAAGAGGCTCTTTTAATATTAAATTTGCTTGCATTTCCCTTCCTCAGGCCAGGCACACTGCAGTATACCAAGGGGCAGTAGTCCTCTTGCCCCCTCTGGGAGTTCCAGGAGGGGCACTGCCCCCCCTGGAAAATACAAAATTAAAAGTAACACCTTACAATGACAAAGACTAAGGATTTGTCTAAATTTACTGTTAATTACAAGGAGAGAAAAGTTTTAGCCTTCTAAAGGGAATACTTTATTACACAAGATGTACTATGACGGAGAGCTCAGACTTGCACTTATAGCTTTACACCCTATAAGGCTGTCTTAGCTCTCTACTGAAAAAATCATNTAAGAGAATTGTTCTGTAAGAAATTTAATGCAAACATTTTGAAAAATGCAATGTTTCAAAATTGCTATAATTTTTGAGTAAAATTGATGTTTTCATTAGAATCAATGTCAGTAAATTCTCGATTTTTTTATGAAGAATAGAAGTTTTACTTTAACAGTCTTGTAACAGGTAAAATAGTTATAAATGTTTAAAGTATAACACATAATAAATACATAATTGTTGAAAATACAGACAATATGCATATATGAATAAAGATTTAGATGGATGCAGATGAAGGAATGTTGATGGTGTTAATTTCTGTAGACAGAATATTGGATTGGATTGAAAATGATTAATATCAATGAATATAAATTTAAGAAATTTGTGGAATTAGTCAGAGAGTTTTCAGAACCCCCTGAATTCAATAGAGTTCACTGGTCCAGAGGGGGGGGGGTAGCCCCCATTCCCCCCCCCCTGAATATGCCTCAGAACAATGCCCATGCAAAATTATAGTCCACTTTTTTTGGTTTTAGAACTTGAAAAATACGTATTTCTCTGTATAGGCAAAACCTAAAAATTCCAAAAATTAAGAAATGTTAGGATTTTTTCAAACCTAAATCTACGTATAGGAAAAACCTAAAAAATCCTAATTCATTGGATTTTTTAGGTTTTTGCATACGCTTTTTTACGCATTTATGTAGTTTTACCAATATTAAATACATATTTTTTAGGTATAGGTAAAACCTATAAATTCCTGATTCATTGGATATTTTAGGTTTTTACATAGCATTTTCACGTTATTAAATGCATATTTTTACGTATAGAAAAAACCTAAAATTTCTGATTCATTGAATTTTTAGATTTTTTACGTACGCATTTTTATGTTTGTAAATTACGTATTTTTACCAAAGAAATGGTTACGAAAATACCTATGTCATACGTATGGAAAATACATATTTTTACGTTTTCCTAAACTTAAAAATACGTACATATATGTATCATACGTATTTTTAAGTTTTCGGGTTAGAAGGGACATTCAGAGACTGAACCTGGCAAACTTCTTCTATATATAAATTTGGCTTGTCTGTTTGTTTGTATCCAATAAACGTCAAAACGGCTGAACCGATCGGGCCCAAATTTTTTGTGGGACATCTAGGGACCCCAGGGAAGGTTTATGAAAAATCAAAATTTCAAATATTTGTCTCTATCAAAATTCGATCGTCATTAGATTTTTAAAAATTTTGAAAATCCGCGAAATTTTTTGTAAAAATCCGCGAATTATTTTTGTTTTGTTTTACGATGTACACAAAGAGAACATGCTCACAATTAATTTAGAAGATGGACGCGAAGCGCCCTCTAAGGCTAGAAAGAAGGGCGCGAAGCGCCTTGAATTTCTAGTATTATCATATTTGATAACTTTAACCTGTTTATCTTCTTTGAAAGAGCTTTATAATATCGAAAATGAAATATAAGATTATATGATATGTTGGATGAGTTGGATCCATCATAAATTCAATAACTTCAGGAGAAATCGTAACATTATCTGTCTTTTATTATATCTGTAATTAAACCATGGTCCTTAACAAATTTGCTTTGGCGCTCGATGCGCTCACAAAGAATTATTGACTCATATCGTTAATTTAAAAAAAAACTATTTGAATTGAACTCAAATCTGCAAGCATAAACAGCTGAAAATTTCCTTTTTTTCGACATCAAACCCTTAAAAAAACACTTTTTTTGAAAAAAAAATTTCTTAAGGGGGCAACCTGAAGCCCCCCCCCCCCCCAAAGACCAGTACAAAATAATATTTTGCCCCACCCCCCTAGCAAAAGGGCTAGTTGGGAATATTAATTAATTAATTTAGGTCGAGGTTGAGCAAAAATTTTATGTCCGTTGAGTAAAAGTTTAGGTAGGATATAAGCAATAATTTTTGGTCAGTTGATTAGGTCAGTTATGGAATAGTCTTAATCAGTAATAAGCAACCCAAATAACAAAAGTGAGGAAATTCCCCAGATTCTCCAAACTTAGCGACTTTCTTTAAAGAATTTCGGAGGAATTTCTTGAGCATCATTTCCTGTAACTGATTCCTCAGAAATTCTAAAGAAATTCCCCAGAATTGGTCCCCAAGATGAGAGATTTTTGGGAGATCACAGTTTTGAGACTCAGTTTAGAAAAATTCCTGAGAAATTCTTCGGAATTTTTCCCCAAGAAATTCCTCAGAATTTCTCTGAACACTTCTCCTGAAATTTCTAAGAAATTCTTAGGACTTGATCACCATGTTTAGGTGAATTTAAAAGATAATTTGTTTTGAAAAATTACTGGGAATTTCTCCAGAATTTTACCTTAAAATTCCTGAGAATTTCTTTGGAAAACTTCTCTGGAAATTCCTGAGAAATTTTTAGTACTTCGTCGCCAAGCTTACGGATTTTTAAGGGGAATTTTAGATAGAATTAGTTTTGAGAAATTCACGGGAATTTCTCCAAAATTTAACCCCAAGAAATTCCTGAGAATTTCTCTGGAATACTTCTCAGGAATTCTTAGGACTTGGTCACCAAGTTTATGGATTTTTAAAGGAACTAAAAATAATTGTTTTACTTCGCTATCCCTGATAGCGCCCATCTGATTACTGATTAAAAGAATTAGGAAAAATAATAATTCTTTTCCTTAAGACGTACAGACTACAGAGGTAATGTTACATCGTCTATACGCAACTGAACTTCTGACCTATAACTTTCCGACCTACTGCAATATCGGACCTACGCCAGCTGTTTATTTTAGTATTATTTGAGGGTTAGGTTAGGTTAAGACAATTTCTGGGCCGAGCGCTGCGGCTAGGACAGGCTAGGGGGCCGAGTGCCGCGGCTAGGACAGGCCAGGGGGCCGGGCGCTGCGGGCACAAGTCCATATAGCAGCTGTAATACCACGTGCTAGTAGGTCGGATGTGTAGTATAGCGGATTTGGCGTAGGTCAGAAGTGGAGTATGGCGGATATGTGTAGGTCGAAAAATACACCACCGGTACAGATGTTTGAAAAATTACAGCTTATGAGCATTCTAGAAAAAGCTTGAATTATTAATATTATTAAAATATTCATATACAATTATTTGAATTGAAATTTGAAACCTGAGATTAAGTTTAAATAAAACACTGAAATTATTTTCATTTTGAGCATACATGAAAAAGCTTGAATTATTAACATTATTAAAATATTCATATACAATTATTTGAATTGAAATTTATATTCTTAAATTAAGTTTAAATAAAAGACTGAAATTATTTTCATAAGATTATATTTTAATTAAATAAAGATAACAATAAAATAAAAACAAAGGGGCGGGGAATATGATCGTTTTTCTGTGTCAACAGGTCAACCAGCACTGAAGGATAAACCATCACAAATAAATCTTTTCTCTTTTCTATACATCTAGTCTACAGAAAAATCAAAATAATATTAAATTTTAATCATTGTTCCAGTCTGAATTGTGACAGAGCTAATTTTACGCAATCTACATTTCACCTTCTTACATATTTCTGACAATTTTTCAATTACATTATAATGTTTTTTCTGCATTTTCTTGTGTACAGCTGATCGGCATGGTGTAACAATATTCTCTTCAACAAAACAGCAATCATAAAAATAAATGCAAATTAGCAATTCAATGAAAGATAATTTAAAAAGCAAAAACGTACTTTTGTTTTTTTAAATTTTATAAAAGAGATGTTATAGATTGGAAACATTGACTTTACTAAGTTTGTAGCTTAAATTGAAATTTTAGCATTTCTCCTTGATGTCTGAACAAACTTGAAAAAGTTTTATTTGAGTGAAATAAGCACAAATACAAAACAAATAGTTATTCATAGATTTTATATCAATCTCATTAGCATTTCTAAATCAACAAAGAAGAAAAGATGAAGGAAAAGGATTAAACTCCGAACACAAACTTCAGCTAAAGAAGACCCAATACCTACAGGAACCTGAGAAAGCTGAGTCTGTTGCAGTAAGAAAGATTAATCAATAGAAACCAAACAATAAATAAACTGAAGAACGAAGAATATTTAGAATTTAATGCTACAGTACAGATGAGTTATATAAAATGGTACTATTAATCTATTAAAACTTTGTTTGTAAACCACAAAATTGAATAAATTGTTTGAATTTTCATTGGAGTTTGCAAGTAAAACTTGGTTATGGTCTTGTTCACAAAATGTCTTATTAGTTAAACAAAAGTAGCAAATTAAAAAAAAAATTCTTTCTACATAACATTATCAAAGAAAGGTATTTTATGATGGCATTATATGATGAAAAGTTAGACAAATTTAAAGTTCAAATGTACAACAAATAACTAGAAATAACTAGAGAAAACTGCCTCATTGTTTGGTTTTGAATTTTATTCTCTGTTTAACTGCATCTTAACCTTTAGGAAACATTCAACCCTTCTTTTTTTTGCAACAAGACCTTTGAAACAAAGCCTTTTCAGACTGCATACACACCCTTCTTCTGTTAAGCCGTTCATGTACATAGTGTTTACTATATAAAGGATGTAACATGCATTATTCTTTACTCTTTGACTTTCTGTGAAATAAATCTGGATATGTAAGTTGATTTTATTTTCATTGAGTCTATGAGTAGTAAAACAGATAATAGAAATAGAACGACTTTTGGTAGTAAATCAATAGCAGTTTATACTAGCTATAAGCAGGCGCGCAACTAGACATTTGGTTAGAGGGGGGCTAGGGGGAAATATTTCGCCCCCCCTAAACATTTTTAAGGGGGGGCAAGAAAAATGTGTGTTATACTTCTATATATAAATTTGGCCTGTCTGTCTGTTTGTTTGTCTGTTTGTTTGTTTGTTTGTATCCAATAAACGTCAAAACGGCTGAACCGATCGGGCCCAAATTTTTTGTGGGACATCTAGGGACCCCAGAGAAG